GCATTCCTTTAACCTGGATAAACTTTGTGGAAGACGTTTGGGAGACTCTCCATTCATGAAAGTCATAGTACTACGAAGCTTGACCACCTCTATTTCTCTACATACCGTTTTTTCTCTTTCTTCCATATCTTTAAGGTATACGCCACCAAACAGAAACTATATTAACAGAAATATTAAACGTTTAAATTATGTACAACACCAGAAACTAATTGATCAATTGAAAGACGTCGCTTCTATTAATATCACTTGTGACTTTTGGAGTAATCGATTGAATAAATCATTTTTTGTTATGACAGGCCACTGGCTTACTACAGATATCGTATTAAAATCAAAAATACTACATCATTCATCTTTCAATCGTCGTCACACTTCACATTATATTACAAAAATTCTTACATCAGTGTTGAAAAAACTTAAAATTCTTGATAAAGTGAATTGTATCGTTATTGATGGTGCTGCCAATATGGTTAAGGCAGTTAGAGATATGCCAGTTGTAATTCCAAGACTATGGTGTACCGCGCACCGTTTGCATTTAACATTAACCAATGGTTTGGCCTTATGGAGCAAGAAAAATGATATTGAAGATGAACAACAACAAGATTTAACATTGAATAATGATGGTAAGAAAACCAATTTGTTTATTTTTTTACGCAAAACATTTTGGAAAATATTAAAACACTCTGAATTTTGGGTTGGAAAAAGCAAGTTTTGAAATTAGCAACTAGAGTTGTAGAAATAGATTGTAATCTTTCTCCTCAAACATAGCAGCCGAATCATTGTTTCAAGGTTTGTTTTTCTAGCCGTGAATAGCATTTAAAATGGTTTTCTAACGCTAGCAAGAGTTTGCAACGTTTGTTAGAACTTCTCTGCAATGGCCCAGTGCATAAGTGTATGATACACGGTGTATCAGCAAATACATTTTTTCACCCTGAAGAAAGTTTGAATTCAGTTGAGTAGAAGATAGATCTGAGCTAACTCTCTTACTATTTCTTATCTTCCATTATTTTTGTAGAAAGTAATACTGCTGATATGGATGTTGAAATGACTGATACAGAAGAAGTTAGTGACGAAACAATGGACGATGACAGAGAAGAAGAAGAAAAAGGAAGTGAAGAAATGGCAAATGCTACAAAGGTTGAAGATTGGGAGGATATTAATGATGATGAAATCACGGACAATTGGGCAGAAGACGTTGGTGTTGATGACAATGATCCCACGCTTGACGTGGATCAGGAAGATATTTTGGCATTGATGAAAAAATGTCGAAGATTGATTTATTGTATTAAAAATTCATCTGTTCTAACAATGCATTTCAATAAACTACGTCAATTAGCTAATGTGCAACGTTGCCTTTCCAATGATGTTAGAACACGTTGGAATAGCACATTTATGATGATCGTTTCAATACTAATTTTAAGACCATTGTTAGAAAAATTAATGAACGAAAAATATAACCTTGATTTACCACAATCACAAATTGATCAATTGACTGAACTTGAATTAAATTCAACTGAATATAATATTTTAATTAATCTACATCAGGTGCTTCAAACATTCTATCATGCAACAAGAAGTCTGAGTGGTCAAACTTATATTTCAATTGGTTTGTGTTCATTTATTATATCACGTTTGAAAACATATTTGAATAAGACAGAGAATGATAATTCAATTGTTATACGTGTCAAGAAATTGATTTTATTTAAAATGAATCATTATTTTGATAATGATAATGATCAAACAGAGTTAATTAAAGTGAGTGGTTTTAACTGAATGCTATGCTTTTTGACTGCATACCTCGTAAATTTGCATGTATTTTAATTGATAGAAATAGGAATGGATAGGTATTTTAGGGAAATAGAAGCTTTGTGGCGTTCAAAAAAGTGAACAGAGATCCAAAAAATTTCTTTTCTGCATATCCCTAGGCAGTCTAAATATGAATATTATATTACATGAATATTATATACTCAATCTAATTAATGTACTTTTTCTGTATATAGACATTTGGTTATCTAGATCCTGCTGGCTTTCGTGCTTTGAACGAAGATGATCAACGCAGTGTTGAACAAGAATTAAAACGTACAATTGAAAATAGTATAACAATTATTGATACACTTACAACCACACCGTCTCCTCCTTCAGCTACAACTGCAACAAACGCCACAACAACAATTGATGCTACCACTGCTTCATTAAATACCTCTACACCCAAAATACGTACAAAAACAGCGCAATCAGCAATGGATCTATTCTTAAATGCCGTTGGCGATACAGTTACACCAAAGCAAACCGACACTTCAGCAGCAACGCCACCCCTTAGTCTGACCGACGAAATACGTCTCTATAAAAAATTAGCAACTAAGTACAATTTAAGTCATACTCCATCTGAACAAAATTGTATCAATTTTTGGAAACAAAATTATCAACAATTACCACTACTCACAACTTTGGCAAGACGATATTTGGCCTGTCCGGCAAGCAGTGTACCGTCAGAGTCAGCATTTTCAATATCAGCATTTTTGGCTAGAAAAGAAAGATCAAGACTGAGTGGTGAATTATTATCAGCGCAAGTTTTTCTCAGAGTAAGTTTATTTGACTGCAACTTTTTTCTTTTTCGAGAAGCTCAATTTCTATAGGGACTTAGGAGCAAGTTCTAGAATACGGAAGCATCATTTCGAGAACTACACTAAGTGAGTTTGCTTTCAGAAGTCTCGTTAACTGAATAAACAATAAGCACTTCACACGTCCTTTGTGCTAAGTGTATTACTGATCGAGAGCTAGCGAGTATAGCGAAGAAGGACAAAAAAAGTGTCTTTTCATAAGAAAGTCTGATAGAGACTCTTCAGCACATAGAAAACTTGTTCACCTTAATTTTATCACTGAAAAAATCTCTGTCAAAATGTGACAAAGACTTGAGAGTCTGCAGATGTACATAAATGATTAAACTACTGTAGTCTTTCTTTCCGTTTCATTTTCTTCTTCTATTTGATTTAGGATAAATTGTATGATTAGTACAAGAGCAAGTGTGATGGTTTCGTATAGTGATCAAAAACAGGCCGATTTCTTCGTCTTTTTTATTAAATGCGCGATGTGATGTTTTTCTGTTTTTTTCTTTTGTTGTTAAAATCCACAGTTGTTACGTGGTAAAGGTCAGCGTTCGAGTTCTTATTTCTTTTTTATTTCATTTTATTTAACCCAGATACAGATTTATTTTTTGTTATAGATGGAAAACATTTTCTACAGTTTTCCATTCTTTTTGAAAGAGCCGATGTTTGAGAGATCATAATGATTAACTTTGTGCACAGAGCAGGTGGTTTTTGTTTTGTTTAATCATTTTATTAAGATATATTCTAGGCTTATTTGTGTGTATTTTCGATTTATTGATTATTTTCGAAGAAAAAAAACATGAACAAACCTTTGCCTAGTGTCTGTTCTGGCCTAGCAATCTTCATAAACCTTAAAGTCCAAGGCACGAAGTGTCTGTTTTAAACTTTGTAAAATCAAAATGGAAATCATAACTTTGTCGAAAAGCGAAGAAAAATAACGAATTTGCTGACTGCTGTATTTGCACTCAAAGACTTTATATGCGACGTAGCTATTTAAAACTAAGTCTCGCATTTCGTATATTTTTTGAAAGCCAAGCCTAACTGATAACAAGCCCGACTGGTACCAATCTTGACTGGAGATTGGTAGGATTGGCACCAATCCTGACTGGAGATTGGTAGGATTGGCACCAATCCTGACTGGAGATTGGTAGGATTGGCACCAATCCTGACTGGAGATTGGTAGGATTGGTACCAATCCTGACTGGAGATTTGTAGGATTGGCACCAATCTTGACTGGAGATTGGTAGGATTGGCACCAATCCTGACTGGAGATTGGTAGGATTGGTACCAATCCTGACTGGAGATTGGTAGGATTGGTACCAAGCCTAACTGGTAACAAGCCCGACTGATACCAATCCCCAGTCGGATTGGACTGGTGCATGCCTAATAATGTGTATTTTGACACCTTTTAACATGCCAAAATGAGCATAAACGGAAGATTTTTCTTCACCTGCTGTAAACGAGGCTTCTTTTTTTGAACATTCTTCAAAAACAAACTGCTTTGCTTCTAATTCAATCTCAGGGAAACAATCCCAAAACGAATCACCTCGCTTTCCTCCTGCAAAAATGAATGATAAAATGTAAAAAAATGTGATCTCCAGATTTGTCTCTGCCTCTGTCTGCAAAAATTACCTCGTTCATCCTTTGTGAATTCATCAAAATCATTATGAACTAAAATATCTGCCCATTTGTGACTTGTTTTACATGTCATACCTCCAATAGCTTGTAGAAAATCATCTGTTTCTCTCCACGTGTGTCCTAAGTGACGAAGGCTAGTGTAGAGCAGTGTACTGAGAAAACGTGTGTTTATTTGTGTTCGACAAAACGTGTAAAGATCAGACAAGTCGTTAATTATTGTTGGACTTTTAAAGTCAATGTGATCTGTGTTGTCATTAGAATTGATTATTACAGTTTCATCATCTTCTGAAGAACTTTGTGAAGTTTCTGAGTGTAGACTTTCTTTTGATCGTCGACCACCTAAATCTCCTGCTGTTTTGGACTGTCTTCTTCTTCGTTTAGTTTTTGGCATTTTGAGTTTGTTTATAGGTTCTAAAAATGTCACAAAAGTGTTATAGCGCGTGCAGCTTAGAAGTCGCCATCAGCTGATTTTACTGCGTCCGTTTGAATACCGCGTTTTAGTGAGTCATCCGTCGACCAATCACAAGCCGGCGCAAAGCGTACTGCTGCATCAGATCGTTAATCTTGAGGGAAACTCAAGGGACAACAACTTTCAGACCATTTTCAGCCCGAAACCCTTCAAAGACCCCTTAAAGACCCTCCAAAGTGCCTCTAGAAATCTCGAAAGTATTTTTATCGGGTTCTGCATTGATTTTAACCTATTCTACACTATCTTGATATTTTTTGAATCAAAAACAAATTTTTTATTAGCGAACGACCTGAAGGATTGCGGGTCTAAAAAATGTAGGCTCTATATCTCAGCACAGGAAAAAGGGTTTTTCAAAAAAAAACGTACTTTTGTAGCCCACGATGAGCTGGTTCGAATGGCATATGAACGAAAATTTTAGGTCTTCAAGCAAAAAACTAGATAGAGTTGCAAAACAAACCTCGGATGGCCGACCATTGGACCGAATTGCTCTTTTGCAGTTACCGGTTACAATTCTGGTCTAAATAATTTTCCAGTTTTTTGAATTCTGCTATTATTCTGTACCATCAAAATATCAGTTTTTGTTTACTCTTTGTGAGTTCTTCTCGAACTAAGACTTAAATACTCTACCATTTTCCATTTGGTATTTTAAATTTGACATACGATAAAATGTTTAAGTATTATTTTGAAGAAAGGCATAAACAATAAATTTAAACCGAAATATGGAAATGTTACAGGATAATGGTAGAATTTAGAAGCCTGAAAGTCACCTGGATTAACACTCAGGTAACCAAGAATAATAGAATTTTGACTTTATCCACTAAAACATCGGTTACTTTTAAAACAAACGAATAAAAAACGTTAGAAATCTTGAACGGCATGAGCAAAAAACTCGTTCATAGTTCTGTAAAAAATTCTTAAAACTGCGCGTTTCCACTTATCATAATGCGTCGAAAACTTCGAACAAATATGAATTCGTCTGAAAATTTGAATGTGTTAAAATGCGCGCTTTTACGAAATTTACTTTCGCTATTTATTTTTGACGCGTTTTTATACGTTCCTTTCTATCGTTTATCTGATCAGATATGGTTAATCAATTCATAAACAACTTTTTTGGTCTTTAACGCTTAGCTTGAGAAGAGCGACGAATACTCACTCCAGTTCAAATAAAAATCATCCGTCAGGTTCGTATGACGCCATGGCATCTGCTTGTTGTTACTTTGAATCCCCACGTCCTTTGTCACCTCAGTGAACATTTTGTCGACTAATATGTTCTTCTTCGAAATGTGTTTGAGTAGGCACTGAGTGAAAATGCTGTTGCGCCCATTCGACGACTGATCACTTGCAGATTTTCCAGGAGCACATGAAAACACAATGTACGAACCGTTTGGTGCCCCTTGCACTGCGAGACCACCACCTTAGATGTTTGAAAAACAGAAACAAATACGTTATAAGTGCGCGACAGATAGAACTGTATATTATTATTTTAGCATTCGTTTACAGCAAAATCAACTAAACGTCGGATTTTTGCAGATTATTACTCACTCTCAGCTGATTACTCATTGTACGGCTAAGCATGAAATACTCACTGCTGTTTATATTGCGTGATCGCGCTTGATTAGGAATCCAGTAGTTCCGACAGCAGTCCAGAATGAAAACAATTGTCTTTGGACGACTGTTTGCAAATCTTTCAAGTGTTTGTTGAGCATTGATTGCTCGATACTTGATTTCAAAAGGAGCAGTAATTCTATCGTCATCTATAGGCATAAGATAATTTTGATCCTCCCATTGAGTCCCGTGGCCAGCGAAAAAGAATACGACATGAGAAGTATTCTGTGACATAGAGTTTGTAAACTTTACGATTGATCTATCCATTTCATAGTATGGTAAATTGTACTTTTCCACGACCATGAAACCAATTGACTTCAACTTTCTCCCAACGTCAAAAGCATCATTACAACAATTATTTAAACATGATTAATAATAATCGTTATTGCCAATGACCATGGCGAATTTTTCAATATGCTGACTTGAAGCTCTCCATTGAGCCATATTCTAAAGAGTATTTCTAATACACTCGAACACCCATAAGTACCTTTTCGATGGAAAACTTAGATCTGATTACATTAGTATATAGGACCCTGCGAGCTATGCTCATGAACGTCTTTTTGGGATATCTCTTCAAAGAGAACTTCAACACTTCTATGAAACCTGTTATTTGAAATTATTTCAGATTCCGAATACCATGCATACTATTAACTCTTGTGAGGAAGTATCTTTAAAAGATCGATATTTTCTACGTGCCAGTGAGAGTGATATTAGCATATAAGCACCTAGAAAATATTGATTTTTGAAGATACTTCCTCACAAGAGCCCTGTAGCCGGATGTGTGATGGTTTCCCACGGTAGTTCTAGACCAGATCCGATATGTGGACCATAAATGAGGCTCTCAGCGAAAAAAATGAACAAAGAACTCGTCATCTTGTACTTACTTTTGACTGTCTGTGCGAGATAGTAAAAAATGGATGTATGAAGATTGATTTACCGATTCTAGCCATATATATATATATGTATATGTGAATGTTACTCTACTTAGAATAAATATAAGATTTATGCATTTTATTTTCTTCGCCTCCTTTAAAACCGCAACACGGACAGTAACTAGTATGAGTATGCAAATGCATAGAACTATCAAAAGGAATAGTAAAATAAAATGGAAAAGGACGATACTGATACTAAATACGATGAGCATGCAAATGCATATAACTATCAAAAGGAATAGTAAAATTGAATAAAAATGAAGATATTGGTACTAAAGACATGTAAGTAAAAGTGGATGATCGTGAAGAGATTAGAATATGATTGTTTGTTGTTTTTTTTTGTTTTTTTTTTTGTTTTTTAAACGTGGGGTTAGGAGCTATGCTAATAGTGAAAATTACCCGGTATTACTGCCTAAACAGAGGAACTGAACCATAAGCTGGTTCGAGTACATTACCTAATGTCGTTGTCCC